CATATTCTTGTTTGTGATCTGTATATCTTCTTTGGGGAAATATCTGTTGAAATCACCCATTTTTAATGGGATATTTTTTTATTGAGGTACAGTTGACATAAAATAGTAATATTAGTTTCAGATGTAGGTAGTTACGTTTTATTTTTTTTATTTAAAAAAGATTTTATTTATTTGAGAGAGGGAGAGAGAGTGCATGAGCAGGGGGAGGGGCAGAGGGAGAAGCAGACTCCCCACTGAGCAAGGAGCCCAATGTGGGGCTAGATCCTAAGACTCCAGGATCATGACCTGAGCTGAAGGCAGGTGCCCCGGTAGTTACATTTTAAATAGCTGCATACTTCTGGGTTATTTATCTCTTCTAATAGTGTGTATGATATGGAACGAATATTAACTTTATTATCCAATTTCTTTTTTCTTTCTTTTTTTTTTTTTAAAGATTTTATTTATTTATTTGACAGAGAGAGACACAGCAAGAGAGGGAACACAAGCAGGGGGAGTGGGAGAGGGAGAAGCAGGCTTCCCGCCAAGCAGGAGCCCCGATGCGGGGCTCGATCCCAGGACCCTGGGATCATGACCGGAGCCGAAGGCAGACGCTTAACGACTGAGCCACCCAGGTGCCCCTATTATCCAATTTCAATTCAGTAAATATTTATTTAGCTTCAGGTGTGTGCTGGTGACTTCTAAATGATAAAAATGTGAAAGTGAACTAGGTAACATGCTTTTGGTCTCGAATAGGGATATATACTGGAACAGTCAATCGGGTCTGGTCCCCTTGCTAGACTTGAGTAGCAGAAAAGCATCGTCCTTGCTGTGGGGAGAGATAGGGAAAGGACATCCCCAGTTAAATTTCTCTCTCAGCATATCCTCTTCCACCACGCATGTATAGGATGTGGGGGGGTTCTTGGAATTACATTATTATACTCAGCCTTTGATGAGGCTCCTAAAACTCAGAGATCACAGAAAACATTGCATTTGACAACCTCTTACAGTGCTTGCTAAAGTGTTTCAGAACTCAGAGGTATTGTACAAGTGTTGTAGTTGATACAACATATCCAAATTAAGAGTAGTGGGACCAGCCATCTTGTCACCCAGAAATCTGAAAAAACTGAGTAAGTCTTGGGTTGGATAGAATTAAAGGGTACTGAATCTAGGATATGGAGTGGGATCAATCTGTAGATAGTCTTTAAAAATACTTAAAATTAGGAATAGGTCTGTTTAAACAATTTTAAGGCTTAAAAAGGATCAAACTTTCTGTTCCATGAAAGAAATGGAGGTTTAGAACCAGGCAATCCTCTTTGACATTAAGATGATCGACATGTCAATTCAAGCCGTGGTTCACTCTGAGTTTTGGGGAGAGTTCCTGTGAAGAGGGTGGGTGGAAGGCAGAGGCACAAAAGGACACAGAGAAGGATGCTGAAGAGGCAAGACAGGTGCTTTTCTGTTGATCGAGAACATGGGGGCAGAGCATTGTGAACATGGGCCTGCTGGTTTCATATCATGGGTGCTTCCCAGACACCAGCCTGTTCTTACGGTGCTGGGGTAGGAGATGGTGATAAAGGGATGGCTCACAGCTAGAGGTTCCTTTCCTTAAAGCAAATAAACAAACACAACATATGCCTCCTAAAAGCCAGGCATTTCTCCTTTGGTTAGTATTCTGGGGTTTTTATTAAACACTTTAGATTTTCTGATTTATTTCCCTTCAGTGTATCTTCATCCTTTGAACATAGGATGTGGCAGATCTTGGGGGCTTTTCCCCCACCCCCACCATGTGCTGCTCAGAATGTCATCAGGTGGGTTAGTGACAGGGACACACAGCTGTTCCCAGGTGATAAAGAGGAGAGGAGATTATGTCTTTGTTTTTATTTTACTTTCTTTGGTATGTGTGGGGGCATGGTGCCAAGATCTTGCCTTTTATGTTGTATTTCTTTAGTTTCATGAAAAGTAATTTAATTTTTGTTCTGGAATGAATCCTCACTAATGTTTTTACTTTTGGCGGGTAGAGGAGATTGATTTTTTGTTTCCTGTGTGTCTGGGCAGTGAGCATCCTAAAGGCAGGGGCTTTGTGTCCTGGCTCCTGCTTCTGCCAGAGCCTGATACTTAGCAATTACTCTGTAAATACGTGTTTGGTGAGCCCGAGGGTGTGTGAATGCCCAAAGTACAGGCATGGCACTGATGACCAAAGAGGCAGCAAAATGGGTATTTTTCAGCCCAGTTCCTTCCCGGGATGGTTTTATATAGGTTAATCTCTTTGCATGTAAAAGCATTTCCCATATTTAAAATTGATGCAGCCCTTCCAAAACTTCAGTGACTCCTGTCCCCAAACTCCTTGTTAGTGATTGACAGTGATGGTCCTGCATAGAGCTGGCTGCCCCCACAGCCTGTAGAAGACCCAGGGCTTGCCCTTGGCAATGACTACTCCTTTATGAAGAGGAATTCACATAGTATACCATTTACCCATTTAAAGTATACAATTCAGTGGATTTTAGTGTATTCATAGACTTATGCACCCATTATCACAACCAATTTTAGAACATTTTTGTCACCCCAGAAGAAAACTTGTACTCATTAGCCATCATTACCTAATTTCTGTCTCCCCCTTACTCTTGGGCAGCCACTAATCTCCTTCCTGTCTGTATAGATTTGCCTATTCTGGACAGGTCCAGTAAATGGAATCATACAAAATGTGGTTCTTTGCAACTGGCTTCTTTCACTTAGCGTCAGGTTTTCAAGGTTCATCCATGTTGTAGTATGAATCAGTATTTTGTTCTTTTTTATGGCTGAGTAATATTCTGCTGTATACCGTATTTTTCTATCCACTTCTTAGTTAATGGACACTTGGTTTGTTTCCACTTTTAGGCTATCCTGAGTAATGTTGCTATGCACATTTGTATACTAGCTGAGGATTTATTTTTATATTTTCACTTTATCACTTTGGACTGACACAAGTTCCAGTACACAGTTTTAACTCCTTTTGGAATCCAAAAACATATGACAGTAGAAATCCATGGAGCACACATCATGTAGCAGAACAGACTGAAACGTGCATATTCATCATTTCCATTATGATGGTGTGATGGGCTAAAACAGTGCAAAAATCTGAACCTGTGTAAATTTAGCCTAATTCTTGCATTTGTGGGTATTTACTCCATGCTAGTCATTGGACTAGGTAATGAGGATATAATGGACAGGGTCTGTGCTCTCAAAGTGCTTCTGTCCAGTGTCTCTGAGGAGTGGGAGGGTGGCCATGGGGTGTGTACAAGGGAATCCAGGATGTGGGACAACATGGTGCCCTCTGCTTGGGGGTGCACTGGGCACCATTAGAGCTCCAGAGAACCCAAAATAGACTTAAGGTAGGATGGTAGGGAGGTCAGGGAAGCTTCCAGAAGGAAGTTCACAACCAGGCTGGGATCTAAAGGAGGAGTGGATGTAGATAAGAGAAGGGAGGGTGGAGAGGAGGAGGAGGAGGGGGAGAGAGAGTTCTTGAGTAGAAAGCTCAGCGTGTTGTACGCGTCACGTGCTCTGGAGTTGAAAGTAAGGTTCAAGGTGAGGTGTGGTGGGAAATGAGGATGAAAAGAGCAGAGGGAGGCCTGGTACCCTTGAGAGCTGCACCAGATGGTTTGGACTCGGGCCCAAGAGCTGGGAAGGGAGCCACGTGAGCAGGTCTGCATTTTGGCCACGGCAGGTGGGGGGTGGTACACGGGGCCAACGGTGGTGTTATTTCCCCTGCAGTGGGAGAACAGGTTACCTGCTGTGGGGTTCGGTGGGAGTTTGAGGATGTTGGGTGGTGGCCAGGAAGAGTCACTGTGGAGAACGAGGTGAGCAGGTGAGTTAGAGAAGCAGTTGTGGGCTCTTGTAAGAAGCGGACTATTTTTAAGTCTGCGTCATCAGACATTGTGGAGGGACATGCCCCCAGGGATGTGGTGAAACATGACACTTGCATAATTGTGCTTCAGGATGTCCCTTGCCTCAACTGAACTGTACTGAACTGACTTAACTCAACTGCAAATGCCAATAAAAATAGAGAACAAAAGTTGCCCAGATGGGCAGTGGATGTGGATGACGGTGTGTCGGTCCTCGTGATCATTATAGCCCACAGCCAGCAGCCCCCCTGAGGATTTCACAGAGTTGCCCTTTATACTTACTTTGAAACGGAAAGCCTAGTAGAGAAGCTGATTATTTCCCTGCTTCCAGCATTGAAGGAATTTGGGTTGGTGGTGGGGGGTGGGAGCAAGAAGATCTACTGGAGCTGTTCATTTACAAATATTGGGAGGCTACAGTATCTCTGATCCTAGAGTCCGGGGAATTAAACACAGAGCAGGGCCGGGCAGGATAAGGGAAGCAGTCTCCCTCCTACAGCGGTTTTGGGAACCTCGGGAGACATGTGCCTGCAAGCTTTGCTCAATGAGGAGCTGGGCTGGAAGAGCTAGGAAACTGGTCTGGGGGCAGAGAGCTAGAGGTGGTCTTACTGCCCCAGCAAGGTGCCACCAGAGGTGTGGTGGCCCGGGCCTGGCTGCGGGTCCAGTCTGGCTGTCTGCACGTGGCACACACGAGGGGGGGCCCCGGGCAGGCTGCATGGCAGTGGTCCTCAGTTTATGCTTGTTAAACTCCCCTTAGATGAGGGGCCCTCCTGGCGGCTGAGGGTAGAACTGATCGCACTTTCTGACCATCTCTGTATGGGTGTTTGTTGGCCGCAGCTGAGAAACAGCAGGTAATGGCCTCAGGCCACTGGATAGTTTTACTGCTAGGACAGGCCTCAGCTGTGGGCCGGGCGGTGTTCTGAGAGACCAGTTCGCAGGCCCGCGTTCAGCCAGGCTTGGCGACGGGGCTGGCCCTTGAGGGAAGGACATCACGGGCCGGGGATTTCGCCACACATGCAGATGTCAGAACAGCCCAGACCCATTTGGCCCCCCTCCTGGAGAACAGAGCCATGCTTACCGGCTGGGCACCTGACTTCCATTTCCTTTCCTCCGAGCGGTGACCCGTGGCTGTTGTTCTTTGTCCAGGTATGTACCCGTTAGCTGCGGCAACCCCGGAGGCTGAGAGCAGCCGGAAGCTGACCCACTTGCTGAACGCAGTGACCGACGCTCTGGTCTGGGTGATCGCCGAGAGCGGGATTCCCTCCCAGCAGCAGCCCGTGCGCCTGGCTAACCTCCTGATGCTCCTTTCTCACGTCAGACACGCCAGGTACAATCCCTGGGGGGGGCCGCTCCGCTGGATGTGGGGGGGGGCGTGCGGGGTGCACGTGCCCTGCGAAGGCCGAAGTGCTTTGGGGAAAGCGTTTGCCAGTTTGAGAGTGATAAGGTAGAATTTTTACCTCTAAAGGAGAATAAACCCTGAAAGGGAACGGGGTGTGTGGGGGGGGTTCTTCATCAGTGCATGCACCTGTGGCCGAAGATCAGCATAGTGGGCACTGAATGGATGTCATGTGCCATCGTATAGGATTTTTATGGCATTCCTCATCTGATTTTTAGTTGCTGGGGTTTGGGCTTGTTTATGGAATTCTAAAAGGGGCCGTTTCTCCCCTCATGTGAATGGCCACCCCTCCTTGCCCCGCCAACCACTCTGAGGTCATTTTCTTGAGGAGGCTAAACTCAGCTTCTCTAGATCAACTCCTGAGGCTAGTGATCTGGGGACGTACACAAAGCCTGCCCCAGGAGTGGGTCCTTTCTTGCGGTAGCATCAGGACGTTAGGACTGAGACCTGAGAGAACCGGGGAGGCCCACAGGTTTTGGCAGGCAGGGCTGTGAGTAGTGTATTCAGGGACCGTCAGTCGTGTGCGCTGATGAAGGGGGCTGGGTGTAGCACGACAGCTCTGTGCTGGGATAGAGATGCTCGGTGCTTGATGGCTCCCAGGATGAGGGTGGCCCTGCCCTGGGGTTGGCAGAGGGGAGTGAGGATGGAAAGTATTTGCTACCCAAGGAGGAGGAAAGTCTGGAGGCTGTGGGGGACAGTATTCACCTCAGGAATTATAACAAGGAGGAGGAAACGAAAATAGCCTCTGCCTTGTTTCCTCCTGAATGATTATTGACACACAACCATTTGCAGAACAGATTCAGTCCACTCTCATTAGTCACAGAGTCTGTATTTCCAAATTTGACTACCTTTTTTTTTTTTTTAAGATTTTTATTTATTTACTTGGCAGAGAGAGAGCACAAGCAGGGGGAGTGGCAGAGGGAGAGGGAGAAGCAGACTCCCCGCTGAGCAGGGAGCCTGATGTGGGGCTCGATCCCAGGAACCTGAGATCATGACCTGAGCCGAAGGCAGACACTTAACCGACTGAGCCACCAGGTGCCCCACAAATTTGACTACTTATAAAAACTTATTTGTACCCCCTGGATCCATACTTAGTGGCATTTCTGTGGTCCTTCAAGGACAGGCTCAGGGTGGCAAAAAATTTGAGTTGCCACACTTAACATTCCCAACTGAGGTCAAGCAAGGGGACACTTGTGTTCTTGTTTCGGCTCTCATACCATAAAGAAATGTCCTTTGTGTGGTCTAGTTAGTGCCATGTTTTGCATTTTTGTGCTTTTTGTTGGCGAGTTAGCTGTCTATAAATGGCCCCCAAGCATAGTGCTGAATAAAGTGCTGTCAGTGTTCCTAAGAGCAAGCAGGCTGTGATGTGCCTTATGGAGAAAATATGCGTGTCGGGTTAGCTTTGTTCATGCGTGAGCTGCGCTAACATTGGCTGTGAGTTAAATGTTAATGAAGCAACAATTTATGTTAAATAAGGTGTCTTTAAACAAAAACACAGGTACACGAAGGTTATGTATTAACTGGATGATGAAAATGTGACCAGAGCCTCTCGGGAACCTAACCCTGCTTTTCCCCCAGAAGCAACGTATTTGCTAATTCAGTGTTGGCAGCGACTTTGTAGAACACAACTACCGTGCACAATGAGAATTAACTGCACTCTGCCAGGTGCTGTCGGGCCACTGTGGGTGGGTGATGGGACACTAAGGTGCTTGCTTGCCCTTAAGTGTAGATGACCGAAGGAGCCAGACGCAAGAACCCTAGAAGAAATGTCTGGGGCAAGGCCAGGGGGTGGATGGTAGACTGGCTTTATTGGGGAGAGTTGGAGAAGATTTTAGGGTTCCCATGGCTGCCTCCCAGGAAGGACTCTCGGCATCTTTTTGTCCCCATAGTAACAAGGGCATGGAACACCTGCTTAACATGAAATGCAAGAACGTGGTCCCAGTCTACGACCTGCTGCTGGAGATGCTGAATGCACACACGCTTCGCGGGTACAAGTCCTCGCTCACCGGGGCCGAGTGCAGCCCAGCAGAGGAGAGTAAGCACAGGGAGGGCTCCCAGAAGCCCCTGTCTCAGTGATGCCCAGTCCAAGGCGAAGAGGCCACAGAGGAGGTCAGAGGCTGAAGTGTGAACTCCAGTGCAAACCGTGAGCTCCATCCGGGAGTGGGCAGGCTTCACTGTCTTGCTCGTGTGTGGTCCCTCATTTGGTTATGGCAGGCCCAGTCGAGTACCGTCCTTCGCCCGACCTCCCCACTTGCCAGGAGTCAGGGTGAGAAAGCTGCAGTGTTCCTTGTTACCAGGGGGCATGTTCGAATGTGGACTTTACCTTTCACTCGGCCTCATAAGATCTCAGTGTGGTCCCTTTCTTACTTTCCATCTCCCTTCCACCCCTCTGGAAAACATGTTAAAGGTTTGGGAATGAATGGTGGAAATCTGCAGTGGAAGGTTTGTAAAGTAGAGAGGGAAGAGGATGGGGCCCTTATAGGAAGTGGACTAACCTTTATTGTGTAACGTAACCTGCCCTCAGATAGACCTCCGTTTGCTCTCTTCAGGGCCACTTGATGGTAGGATGGAAAACCATGACAACGAACGAACTAGTTTCACACACCTACCTCACAGGCCTGTGAGGACTGAGGTCATGTATCGCTCTTACTGTTGAAGGCCAGAGGGATTGTGATCTGGGGAGCCAGGGGTCAGGCTGGGAGGTGAGCCATGCCCTTCCCCCAGACCTTGCTGCCATCTCCATAGAGGTTCATTCCTCTTGATTTGCATTCATAGAGCCTGCTGATTATTTGGGGGTGCATTTATGTTTGTGATCACTTTTATGGAGGATTGTGGGGATTTAAATCTCTCTGCCCCTTCCTTAAAACTCTCTTGTCCCACAGAGCCCAGCCCAGTGTGTGCTGGAGAAAGGCCCAGCGTTTGCAGGAACGGGTTTCTCCTGTGGGTTTGGGTCACAGCCACGTTGCTTCCCTGGGGCAGCCAGGGAACCAACCGCCACATCAGCCATCCACGGACAGGGATACGTCGGGCTGTATGTGCAAGGCATGCTGTTCCATGGAAAGATGAAGGGCTACTGACACACCTGTGTGTCAGGTTCAGGGCCAGACTGTGTAGACTTGGTGAGCATATCACCTGAGCAAGACCTGGTTTGTGAACCCTACTTAAAAAAAAAAAAAGATTTAGAGATAGTTATTTATAGCAAGAAAGAATTCTTTTACACCCTCGGGCTCTTTTAAACTATTTTCTTATCAGAACATTTATATGGCGAGCTGGGTGAAATAGAAACTTCGTAGAAGAATATTTGTTCCTATTCCAAGTGGAACATAAATAGGACAAGATGATAAAGCACCTCTGGAATTACAATTTTAACTCACTTTTAAAAAATTGAAATCTTCAGGAATATAGTGAATGCATTAAATGAGTTACATCTATACCTTGGCAGTGAGCAGTTAAACAATCATGTCTGATTTTTGTGATGATGATTTAAAAAATTACCTTGTGATAGATTAAACTCATTCTCTTTTAGAAAATGGGTTTACTTTGGCTAGCACGTTCGGTATTTACTAAGTCATCAGGAAGATTAAATTGGATGGTTTCTGCTAGGGAGTCCTTGAATAATTCTTAATTTTGATATTGGTGCAGTTTTACTGAAGGTTGAGCGGAGCCATTTCGGAAACACTCAGACACAGACCTGGAGAGCACACGTTGTCTGTATTCTGAGGTGGTCAGAAATCATTCCTAGTGGCTCAGTGTGGCGGCCTAGGTGAGATTCGGTGCAGAACACAGGAGTTGTATTTTACAGGAACCAGGGAACATCCAGAAGGTCAATTTCCTTTCTTTCTGGCCAGTCTAGAGCCCGTCCCCCCGCCCCAAACAGAAGATACAAGGCTGGAGAACAGGAAGTGGGAGGCAAAGGAGGCAGTCTTGACCAATTATTTGCTGATGAAATCCTCTTCACTGTACTTAGAAAGGAGACTACCGGAGTAAAAAACAAAACCAGAATGAAGTCTAAGCCATTGCTACAGTAGAATGTAGTGACTGGCAGTATTTTAGGTTAGATTTTGATGTCCGAGGTAGAAACCAGAGTGGTCTCAGGTGTCGAAGCAGCTTTCTGTGCCAAATCTCGTGCTTGCCTGGATTGTGAGCTTGTGAACTCTTCCAGGGCCCAGTGCTCGTTTCCTAGTTATTCCTGCATGCTTCTTGAGGCTGCTTGCTTTCCTGCATTTGGACTTACCCCACGAGGGGGCTGTAATACATTTCTTCTTGGCTCAGACTGCCATAGGGGTATGCTGGGGGCCGGGGGGCGGGATAGAGGTTAGTCCAGCCCCGGGGCACCTCCTTGGGGCAAGGCTGTCTCTTAGAACTGGGGTCTGGGCCGAGTGGGCAGTTGAGATAACATGGTTGGTCTGTAGCTACAAGGTGTTCTTCCTTTTGTTTTGAATATTCTAGGGCCCTTTCCCCCTCGCAGATGGGAGTGTTTTGAATCTCTGGGCCCATCTGTTCCAAACGTGTCCTCTAAAGCTGACACCAATGTGTAGTCAGTCTGCTGGTTTTTTTTTTAAGATTTTATTCATTTATTTGACACAGAGAGAGACAGCGAGAGAGGGAACACAAGCAGGGGGAGTGGGAGAGGGAGAAGCAGGCCTCCCGCCAAGCAGGGAGCCCAATAAGGGGCTCGATCCCAGGACCCTGGGATCATGACCTGAGCCGAAGGCAGACGCTTAACGACTGAGCCACCCAGGCGCCCCAGTCTGCTGTTTTTATATGTTTTTCGTAAACCCTCAATATCCATTTTAAAGATTGTTTCTCGGGCGCCTGGGTGGCTCAGTTGGTTAAGCGACTGCCTTCAGCTCAGGTCATGATCCTGGAGTCCCAGGATCGAGTCCCGCATCAGGCTCCCTGCCCGGCAGGGAGTCTGCTTCTCCCTCTGACCCTCCTCCCTCTCATGCTCTCTGTCTCTCATTCTCTCTCTCTCTCAAATAAATAAATAAAAATAAAATCTTAAAAAGGGAAATAGGACCTACCAACTATAAACAGGAAATAGTTTGAGTGGGGGGGGACCCCACCCAACTACATTTTATGTATTATGGAAAAGTGAGCTTTAGCTTTGCTTCAGACTCGTGTGGCAAGATTCCTTTCCTCCATTTTGATCTGCAAGTTATTGTTTAATGTGAGAAACTTATTTGTGGGAGATAAATGAGATTTGGGCTTAATTCCAAAAACATGAGTGTCTCATATGGGATCGTGTGGACACATCTTAATGAAATAATTAACACGGAATATTCTTAACACAGAGAACATTAGAACAGAGTATGCACTCGGATTCTTGGGAGGGTGTTGGCAATCCCTGAAGAGGACCGGTGTGGGCGAGCCTGGGGTGTTCTAACTGCACCCTCTCCCCTCCCCCCAGCCCCTCTGTGTGGCCTCAGGCCTGTCCCTTGCACACTGTCCTCTGGGACCAACTACAGAGGATTTGACCCTAAAATAATTTTGAAGAGATTTTTCTTAAAAAATTGAGGTGGGAACTTAAATCTGGAGGGTCTTAACTGTATTAAAAACAAAACAAGGCAAAAATTAACACAAGCTCTGCAGTGAGATAGTCTCTACCTGCATTATTTCACCTGCCAACTCGGCTAGCAGGGCAATTATTCTAGATTTCAGTAAAAATAAATCAGTTACCAATTCTTGGCAGAGCTACTTATATATTCATATATATAAGCTAGGTTGAAGCAATTCTAGAATTTTCCTGGTGGTTATTTAAATCTGCTAAGGAGCTTGCACATTCAGACAGCTTTTCAAATCCAAGGTGAACCTTCAGCGTCGAAGTCTATTTTGAAACAAAACTTTTTTTTTAATTAAATAAGATTTGACACATTTCTTTAAGCTGCTAGAAACCTTTTAGAAAACATAATAAAGACTATGTGAGGGAAATGATAAAAATACATCATTTAGCACCTAAAAATAATATCTGTGGAACACTTACCGTGTGCCAGACACAGTTCTCAAGGCCTCATACTTTCACATTTAATAATAATTACTGCGATCTTAATTTTCTGGTTGTGGAAACTAGAGAGTATAAGCAAACTAGCCCAGGGTCCCACAGGGAAGCGAGTGACAGAGCCGAGCAGAGGCTTAAGTTCCAGTGCTGAAGGTGATCATGCAGCTTAGTTTAACACGACACTAAAAAGATACTATTTTTTAAAAGATTTTATTTATTTATTGGACAGAGCATGAGTAGGGGGAACTGCAGGCAGAGGGAGAGGAAGAAGCAGGCCCCTCAGTGAGCAGGGAGCCCGTTGTGGGGCTTAATCCCAGGACCCTGGGATCATGACCTGAGCTGAAGGCAGATGCTTAACCAACTGAGTCACCCAGGTGCCCCTAAAAAGATGTTTTTTGACCACAGAATACACGCATCAATTGCAATCTGACATGCACGGCCTTTCTGGCTTAAGTGGGGTCCCCCCCAATTTCCACAACACTGTAGATTCAGTGACAGCTTGTAAACCTGACGCAGAAGTTCAGTCTCATCTCGTATACATGTGTAAATTAAAGCCCAGAGGGGGAAACTGACCTGCTCAAGGTCATAAAACTACTTCTGGCCAAAGTCGGACAGGAAGTTAGGTCTTCTGCCGCCTGGCTGCTGTAGGACTTGCCTCCCTGAGTCTGCTGCTGGAGCTGAGTCTCCGTGCCTAACAGACATTCAAGTTACGGTTGCCTTCTGCTGACCGTGTAGAGCCTATCTTTTCAGCTGAGATGGGGGTCTGCATGAAATGTTATAGAACAGGCGGAAAAAACAGTGAGATCGTTCCTGTCCTCCCATCCTGGGCTCATAAGCTAGGGAGTGGCACCCTGGTCGTCTTCTATCTGCTGTTGCTTTTCCCAAATGTGTGGAAGTGGAGTACGTTCCTTGGAAACTTCCCCGTGTAAAATGCTCACACCTTTTAGGTAGATGGTTCCCTGTGGAGTCTGGTATACAATAGTGTGAAACACATGCCCTTGATTCTTTATAGCTCTCAAAGTTGCTGGAATTTCGGCTCCAGTGGCAGCTCGAAGATGTGCATTGTCTGTGATATGTGATCTTCTAACCCTTCTGTTGTTTTGGAGTCAAGGATCCTTTTTTTTTTTTTTTTTTGAGTTCCAAGGATCATATTCACTTGTGAGGCCAGTGGGTGTTAGGTGCTGGGGGGTTTCCTTTATGGGAAGGGCAACGGTTGGCTAACTCTAGCCCACAGCAGCTCCTGCTAACTGCAATCTTCGCTGCTATGTTTGTGCTTCTGTGTTGGGTGTCTCACTGCCACGGCTCGTGGTTCTGTAAGTGATGATTCAGTGGTCCTGTGTACCTCAGAGCCTGCTGGCCGCTCTACCTTGTTTTTTCAGGTGAATGCTTTGTACCACTAAGCAGGCTTGTGCATTTGGGTCTTTACAAATGAATGTTTGCTGTTGTGCGAAAGCAGGTTTTGAGGTCTGCTTTCCATCCCTCCAGGTACTGCTTTTCCTCTGCTGTGTCCTCTTAATATTTATGGAACTGTTGTGGAGAGAAGTTTAATGTGACGTAAGCGAAATAAAGTGTTTTTCATAACTGTGGTTTAAAAAATGTATTTGTTGGGAATATAAGAACTTGCAATAACTAGGCTAAGTAGTCAGTGTTCCCATTATATTCTGAATTCTATTCTATTTTAGGTATGCAGCACCCTTTTAAGAATTTGATGAAAACCATGAACACTCTTCCTGGAAAAAGGTACATAAACACAAATGCTTGCCTATAATTCAAGAGGGTTAGGAGGGTTAGGAATCTCGGTCTTAAGCTGTCAAACCTTTTTTTTTTATTTAAGATTTTATTTGAGAGCGTGTGTGAGCAGGGGGAGGGGCAGAGGGAGGGAGAATCACAAGCAGGCTCTGCACTCAGTGTGGAGCCTGACATGGGCTTGATCCCATGACCCTGGGATCATGACCTGAGCCAAAATCAAGAGTTGGACGCTTAACTGACTGAGCCACGCAGGTGCCCCAGAGTTTTTGAGCAGTAGCAATTTAATCTTTGGTCAGCTAATCTCATGCTTGTGGACTGATGACCACAGGCACTGTGTGTTCAAGTAAAACGCAGCCCACACATGTCAAAGTCCTGGTATGCAGTACGTCAATTATATGAGTAGATTTTCTGTAATTACCTCATCTAAGTCAGTATGAAACCCCACTAGGGATGGGGAGAAAAGTCATTCATTCATAATGAAGTGATCTGAATGTCAGGAGTTGTTTGAAAATTTCCCTCGCGTGTGAGAAATAGAAGATGCAAAACCTCTTAAAGGTGTAAAACATTATCTCATAACAAGTGTCTGGGAATACACTGAGCTTTGAGTGAAGAAAGGCTTGCTGGGGATAAGTATATACTCCAGGCTTCTGGATCCTACCCTTAAGACTCAAAGACCTTTATCCTGAGAATAGATGTGCGCAGTTAGGCTTTGAAATGCAGACATTTTCCTTGTCACTGCAACTTTGACTTGCCCCAGAGTTGAAGGTTTCCAGAACCGTCAGTCCGAAGAGGAGGAGGTAGGGATTCTGCCTTTTGCCTCTGGCAGAACTGGGGCAAGAACCCTCTAACCAACTCAGTGGCTTAGAGAAACAGTTGGGGTGACATTTTTCACTTAAATGTGGCTCTGGGATTTTTGTTAATCCATGAGAAGAAATGAATTATTTTAAAGCATCAGAAGACTTTTTTTAAACTGCAAAGTACCATTTTTCTCCCTATCAATCACTTTCATCAATTTGGTAAAATGAAGACGGATTCCCTTCCACTGGTACCATTACATCAAGCTGCTTATGAACTGCACACGTCCTGGGGCTGTCTGACCTACAGAAGGGGCCGCTGGCACTGGGAGTCTGGTCTTCATCTACTGCCAAGCCTCCCTGGCTTCCCCTAAGGTTTGTGCTTGGCAGAGCAAGAGAGGGAGCACTGAGGTGGTGGTTAGGACAGTGGTGTCTCCCAAGTGTCAAGAGATGCAGGTTAGGGGCGCCTGGGTGGCTCAGTCATTAAGCGTCTGCCTTCGGCTCAGGTCATGATCCCAGGGTCCTGGGATCGAGTCCCGCATCGGGCTCCCTGCTCCGCGGGGAGTCTGCTTCTATCTGCCTCTCTGCCTTCTTGTGCTCTCTTCTCTGTCAAATAAATAAGTAAAATCAACAACAAAAAGATGCAGGTTAGGAGCAGTTAACTCAGGAACTGGTTCAGTGACTTCTAATCACACTCTTTGTTTTAGTGGGAAATAGTGGTACTGTTCTGTGGTAGATTATGTATGACATTTAATTTGTAATATAATCCAGTACAACACGAGTATGGGTATTTTTGTTTTAATGAGAAATATTTGAGTTGTACATACCACAAATAGCTTCAAGTTTCTGTAACAAACCCCCATGGCCAAACAGCTAAACAATACCTGAAGCAGGACTTTAAAGGTGAAAAGTCTTATAAAATTAACTTACAAAAACCTCCCTATCAAGTAGTTTGGCATTTACTGTACATTAGTCAAAAGCTCAAGCTAAAATCGGATGTTTTTTTAAAAAAATCGAAGTTTACATTCATACAGATTCGGCATTGTTAAAAAATATGCACAAATAACCACATCCATGCAATATAATTTCTTTAAAAATTTAAAGCAATATAAAAGAGCAGACCTAAGTACAGAACAGAACATTTTGGTTTATAACCTGCAGCTCAAGATTGCTAGCTGATTGGAGTAAAATTAATTCTAAACATTTTAAATATGATTGTTTCAGTCAATCAGCTAAGGGTGCATGTGAGTGTCTGAACCATTTCTAAGATGGAATCTGCTTGTTTCCGTAACATGTGATGAACGCCGCTGTTCAGTGAGCACGTTAGCTACATCTGAAGAGTGTCTTACAAATAAATCAGAATTCACAGAGTGCTCGGCTCTTCAGGAAACGGCAGTTTCCGAGACCCCGAGACCAATCAACGGGCTTTGCCAAACGGCCCAGGCTCCCTGCCCCCCAGGGAGGAACAGCCTTTGGAAGCGGGGCCCAGGGTGCTGAGAGAGAGCGCCCTCTCTGGCCGAGTCTGGAGCTGCAGGGGTCTGCAGCAGGTGGCGTCGTCGGCAGCAGGTCCCTGGGCCAGGCCAACGCTCAGGGTCACTCACCGACCGGTCTGGGGCCCCGAGGCGGGCACCCGCGGGAGCGGGCTGGTGGTGCGGTGCCGCAGGCCGGGCGGGGCCTCTAGGTGGGAGGGGGCCCGTTGGTGTACCTCAGCATGGGGTAGAAGGACCTGGCGAAGTTGTTGGCCTGAGTGCAGCGATAGTCCTCTTCGGACGAGGGCAGCAAGCAGGCCAGCAGCAACAGTAGCAGCAGGAGCACCTGCAGGGGCAGCGCGGCCCTGACCACCCGCGACACGAACGAGCGCCGCGGCCGGGAGCTGCCAACAGACGGGGTGGAGAGCTGAGCGCAAGGTGCTGGGGGCCCCCCCCCCCGCTTGTGTCAAGTGAGACCCCCCCCCCAACCCAAGGAGCCGAGATTACGGCGGGGCCCACGACAAAGGTTCGGTCCTGGGAGAGCAACCCAGCCCTTTCCAGACCAAAGAAAGCAAGTAAAGTGGGTTTTGTACAAAGACCTAGAGCACGGGATGGGCAAGACTGCTGAGGTGCGTGTGGGCAACAGGGGACTCGCTGTGGTGACTGCAGGGCCCCCTTACCTGCTGTCCAGCTTTTTCTTGTCTGCTGTTGTTCTGTCTGCCCCGAACTGCTGGGTACAAAAGAATGCAGTTTAGTAACTGAAGACTGGGAGTCTGGGCCAGGATAAAACATCCTTCCTTCTTAAATTATACACCTCCCTTAGGTCATCTTCCCGCCAAGGTTGGAGCCCAGAGTAATGCGTGTGAGATTATACTCCATGAGGCCAGCAATACTGGCCGTTTCACGTTCCCGTTTGTTGATCGGTTGTTAATGGAGAAATCGGGGAGTCCCTTTAACGATACTGTAAGGGCTCCCCTCTTTCACAACCTACTCCAGTTCCGGTGACGAGCAGCTGATACGACAGCCTTTCTGTTGGGTCAGTTTTCTTTAATCTTTGGCATCAGCCTCTCCCCTGGCCAGCAGGTGGAAGCGGATCTGTGCTGTCGTGAATTGGGGGCTGGGGGCTGGGGCCGTGGGAGGCTCCAGTTCCTGTCCCCTGGGTAACTTGGAAAAATCACCAGCACAGTGCTCAGGGCACAAAGGGGCTCTCACCTTTGCTTGCGGAGCTGGCACGGATGCTGCTGGCGGCTGGGCTCCGGCGTCCACCTCGTCCAAGCTGGGCAGAGATGGGTCTGGGTTCTGAAATCCACACCCCAAAGGTTCAGTTCAGGGAAACAGAAGGTCTCAAGAGCACAAAAACATGCTTCGTGCAGATTCCTCACTGCTCCACTCACCCCTTCCCCCAGCTCAAATCTTTCCGGAAGAGGGGAGCTCTTCTATTCTTCTCACTCCCCACCTTAACAGGGACTCTTCCAGACAAAAAGGCATGCGGCAGGCAAGGCCAGGCCAACCCTGCCATTAACACGCACAGCATGCACTAGGGGAGACAGAGTCTAGCTGCAGCGAGCCGGACAGGATCAGTGGGCCGTGAGCCCCAGATGTGCAGATGTGATCACGTGGCCATCAACATGCTAGAGCCGAAATGTAACTCCAGCATGGACGGGGCAGGCCTGCTGGAAGTTGGCTGGAAGCTACGGGTTGGGTTTGTTGGGAGCTGGATCACGTTTTAAAGAAAGTAGAAAAAGGAGAGAGTGGTCAGAAGACGGCAACCAGGGCAGTAAAGAGGACGCTCAAGTCTGTTCGGCATGAAGGCAAGTCAGAAATGACAGAGGAATTAGGCCGGTTTTTCACACGCCAGCCACGTGAACACGTAGGCGCTACAGTGCTGTCTTCCCCTTGCAAACGACACAACGGCGTCAAAGAGCCTGTGTAACTTTTTAAGGCCGCACAGCTAGGAAGGGGCAGGACTTGAGACTCTGCTCAACGAAGTGCTTGCGTCCTGCCCCCTCCCCCCGCCCCCAGCAAGGCTGCCACGCTGCCTTCCTATTCGTCTCTAATAAGACATCTTTCGATTTAGAAGCCACAAGTTGACTCACCTGGCGTCCCTGCAAGGATATTAAGTCTTGGGACACTTGCTCAAGTAACTGTTTGAGTTTCTTCTCAATAACATGTACCTTCTCTTCAGCCTCAATATAGTCTTCTCTGTGCCCCTTAACAAGGAGACTGTCTGAAATCTCTTGTAAGGTGTTTACTTGAGGTTGACGTTCCGTGAGCTCTTTTTCCAGTTGCTAAAAATAAAAAAAAGTGTGAGAACTAGCTGCTTCGTGTGGCCAGAAGTGGCTTTCTTAGTGCCAGGAAAGCTCAGGGATGGGGGTTGCCTCCAGAACCTTCTACTGCTTCTATGTGCCTGTGTGTGTGTCCTGAAGCCCAGCATCTCATTTAGGCAGCAGGTAGGTTATACCCTGCCTGTTTTCCATTCCTTCTCATTCTGAGGACAATTGGATGGAAGAGTTAGAAGTGAGGGAAAGACTAGATCTTTGTCCACCGCAGGAGGAAGTCAAGGAAAAATCCAAACTGGGTAAGTTGGGAAACAGTAGCTTAAGAAATAAAGGCACACGTCTGTGAAATCAGCCTGAATTGTCGATTACCTTGCTTGCTGTCTGATAGGGTAGGCATTAGACAACATGGGGCTATTTATTTTTTTTAAAGATTTTATTCATTTGACATAGAGAGACACAGCGAGAGAGGGAACACAAGCAGGGGGAGTGGGAGAGGGAGAAGCAGCCTTCCCGCGGAGCAGGGAGCCAGATGCGGGGCTCGATCCCAGGACCCTGAGATCATGACCTGAGCTGAAGGCAGACCCTTAATGACTGAGCCACCCAGGCGCCCCAACATGGGGCTATTTAATTTAAAACTAAAAATTCAGTTTGTCACAAGAGCCACTTTGCCATGCTCAACAGCCACCCGGCCCATAGTTATCATACGGGGCAGCACAGATATGGAGCATTTCCTTCACTGCAGAAAGTTTGTTGGGGAGCGCTGCTCTTGAGAGTGGGGCTTTGCAAAGATTTTAGTGTATAAGAAGGTTTTTAAAATAATGACCAGTACTTTAAATTTATTTATAACTGAACCACATACAAATTTATGGGTAAGAATGTCACCTGGTTAGTTAGTGAAATAAATATAGAAAAACACCACTACCCTCCAAGAAATAAAGACTTTGCTATAGTGGATTTAGAAAACTCCTACAGCTCATTGTGTCTGTGGAGTAATTGAGCATATTCCCCCCCGCCCCCCCATGAGTCCTATTCCAAAAGGAGAAAACACTTCCAATCAAATGGCTTTAAGGGTCTCAGGATATTGCTAAACACCTAGGTCCCCAATTCCCGACAGTCTTAAAAGACTTCCTGCTTTTGGCCATGGCTCTTCCTCCCTGCAGGTCATCTTGCTAAACAACTACAAGGGGATGCTCAGTAGATACAACCTGAACGTGAGATGCCACACCCGCATCGTTCCCAGAAACACGAGGTGAGGCTACCTGAGTATGCACCTGACAGAGGGCAGGGGCAGCGCAGAACCCCTTAGGAAGAAACTTACCATCAGCTCTTCCTGACATTCCAGGAGAACCTGGGGGTCTGCCTCTGGGTCCGGGACCTGAGCCTTCTGCCTCCGGCTCTCAGCACTCGCTAACCACAGTAACAGATCTTGACTCAACTGGTGGAAGTCCTTTAAAAAAAAACACATACACACATCATAGCATTGCCTTTTCTGTAAAGGAAGGTGTGCTGAGAAGCAGCTTGCTGGCTTAGGCCTACTCAGTATTTGCTTCTCTTGTCTTTGTCCAGCAAATATAAGGGCCAGATTTAAATGAAATGCCAGGGCCCCAAAACAAGGCGAAGGGAAAGCAGGAAAGAGGGCACGGCTGGCACAGTCCCAGGAGGCACGATGAATTTTGTCAAGTGGAAGTGCTAGCAGAAAGGCAGGGCTTCAGAATGCTCCTGCCCCCGCTATTACGTAGAAAGACCACACAAATTATGACAAATCTGCGGGATTCAGTGGAAAGGGAGACACCCCAACAGGGCAGGCTGTGGCCCAGGGACAGGGCTGCATGGGAGCTTGCTGGTGGGCTTGTGTTCCCGAAGATGGGGTCAGAGCTAACACGGGATGAGCATTTACCACCTGTCAAGTGCTGGGCTAAGATTATATGAATTTAGTCCTCAAAAGCAGCTCATGAGGTAAAGACTAGAATTACTCCCATTTTTCAGATGAGGGAAACAAAACAAAGGTCTAGCAGGCACAGTGATTTGCCCGAAGTCACACAGCTACTAAAGCTCTAGAGTTGGGTTAAACCGCTCCTTGCGCTGGGCCAGGTCTCTTAATCAGTCTGCTATAAGGTCCTCCTGGCCAAAGGACAGAGATGGGGCAGGGCGGGGTGGCATTTCCGACCTACTGGAATGCTCGCTGGAACCCTTATGCTAGGAGTGGGCCAGGGTGACAGAACAGGAGACCCAGGGCCAGCAGCAGGTCTCTGGACAGCAGCTGGGCCTTTTGGAAGCAAAT